ATCAGCCTAACATTGTCCACAGTTTTGTTTTTAGTTAGTAGTATGAAGTTCTACTTGTATGTACCATGCGTGTTAACACACTTTTATATCATGTTTAGTTTTACATGACTTGGAATTTAATATTAGTAAATGGTCTTTTTTTAGCCAAGCAAGTAGATTTTCTTAACTACAGTGATGATTGCTTACATAAATAATTGTTTCTGAAAGTAGAAATGAAATGGAATTTTGTTTATGTTGAACATTCGTTCTGGTTAGAAAATTGAAGTGGATTTTTTACGTAGATATTATATCATTAGTGAAGTGTGTCAATTTTTAACATACATTAAGAACTTTTACTGGAAAATAGGCATTAGATCTGTTTTAAACCTATTTCTGCAATATTCAACTGAAGTCGAACAAGCATCCATTACCAGTAGCACAACATTTGACTTTAGTCCACATCAAGAAATAATCTTGTTTCATGGCATCATTCAACTTCATTCATTGGGCTATCAAAATGAATTTTTGTTGTGTTTTTCTTCATATTTTTAGCCTAAAATTGCATTCTTTTAAGCAGGTGGTGAGAAAATTATATGCAGTGGAAGGGTCAAGTAACATTCGTTAATTATTAGATTTAATTTCTTGTGTGTTTCTATTTGTAATAAACATTACATATTTCATATAGACCCAGATAGTGAGATCCTAAACTAATGCGGCAGTTGATGCATAAATTTAGTCACTTAGTATCAGAAGCTACTCACCTCAGACTAGTGCCGAGGTCAAGAAAACATCCATCTATACATCTAATCACCCATACGCCTTCATGGCATGGTGCTTAATTAGTTAAGCACAGGGACAACTGTACATTTTAGTAACCGAAGCTGTTCGATACCATTATAAACTAGAGTAGCTCAGTCTTGCTAAAGACTGGATGACCAAGTTCAATTCCTTACAGAGGCAAGAGTTTTTCATTTTAAACCCAGACCAGCCAGCCTGGGGCCCACCTAGTCACCCATCCTGTAGGTAAGAGGTGTTCTGTCCCTGGGGGTAAAGAAGCCGAGATGTGATGGTAACCATTCACATCCACATAATGTTAGTTACACCTCAACTCCCCCATATGTGTTCATAGCAGGGTGCTTAAGTAAGTGACATTTTACTTTTCAGTGGATGCTACTCCTTAATTGTGGGGATAAAATGTCATGTAATCTGTAAGAACTGGATGTTACTGGAACAGTAGATATGAACAGCTCTGCTGCATTGCAAAGCAGAAATGAGAAGTCAGTTTTATATCCCTTGAAGATAATAGAATGGTTAAAAAACTCCATGGCCTGTAGTCCATAAGCGAACTATACTGACTGCCTCTGGGCTAGTGGTCAGAGTTCCTGGCTACAGATCCAGAGGTCCCGGGTTCGATTCCCGGCGCTACCATTTTTTCCCTTTCTGAGAAGTAGTGGGTCTGGAACGGGGGCCTTTCAGCCTCATGAGGATAATTGAGGAGCTGTTTCAAAGAAATAGTGGCTCCGGTCTAGAAAACTGAGATTAACGGTTGTGGGAATCCATTGCGCCGACCACATGACACCATCTATCCGCAAAAGTTGGCACTAACTTCGCTGACAAGTGACGGTTGCTTGGTTGTTATAGTTCATTTGCAGACTACAGGCCACGGAATAGAATGGTTATCATTTAAAAAGAATGAATGGTATGGTCTAAGTTCACCTTGAGCACTCCTTTATCAGTTAGGTGAATTATATGTGTCCTTTCCCACTTCAAATCCATAGATATATGATATAGTTTAACTTAAAAAACTTTCTCTTTACCCGTTCTGGTCACAGTATATGTGGAAACTAGTGAAATTTTTGGAAGAGTGAACATTGGGCTGTGGAAGATAGTCATGACTGGTGCTTGCCACTGCATTATTGTAAAGCAAGAGTGACTCTGTGATAATTTTTTTTTTGTGTGCGCACTGATAGTACTTTAATTTTTTGTTACAGCACCTTCAAAAAATTGTCTAGATGTTCACAGATAAATTAGGGTGGGATCATCCGGGTTGGCTTGGATAGGAGTATATCTCTTGTTCATTCTATGCTTGAGAGATTAATGTGATTGTTAGAGAGGGGTGGTATTTATGCAGGCTGAGGTGCTGTATAATTAAATGTTTATGTCTGTTGGCAGTAGTACGAAGGGAATTGATATAGGCAGAAGGTTCACAGGTTCTATACTGCAGGCCCCCCACCCCCCCAAAGCGAGGAAGAAACGATTGCTGATCCTACAGTACTTGTCATTTGTACATTGTATGGTCAGTTTTTATGTCCTTTACTCTGTGAAGAAGTATAATATTTATATGGTTCATATGTAAAGCATGGTATCTGTGTTTATTGTGACCAGTGGTGTAGTTTTTGGCTTAACGTCGGCAAAATGTAGAATCCCTGTACACATTTTCTGAAAGTGTGCCAAGGAAGCCGTGTATACTTCTTGTTGAATTCTGTGTCCTTGCACTAAATGTAAATCAATACATAAAATAGACAACAAATCATAAGTTTTTTGTCATTCAATTCCAAGTGCTTTATTCTTTGATTAAAAACACATTTTTAGTTATTGTGTGATTGACATTAATGTTTGAAATGTTGTTATTGAAGTTGACTCTTTATAACCCTTCATTCTGAAGATATATAATGTTCATAATTGTATGGTTCATATGTAAAGAAAGATATATGTCTAATTTATCACAACCAGTGTTGTAATTTTTGGCTTAACGTCAGCAAACTGTATAATCCCTAAACTGATTTCCTGAAAGTATGGAAAGGGAACCTTTGTGTATATTTCTTATTGTTGAATTCTGTGTCCTTCCACTAGATGTAAATTATTACATAAAATCAACAAAAAATCGTAAGGCTCATTTGTGTTTTTCTGAAGTCCTGCAGTTTCGAGTGCTGGTACATGCATTTAAGTTCTTCTGACATTGACATAATGTCTGAAATGGTGTTACGTAATAAATGAAGAGGAGGTTTTATGCAGAAAATGATTATTGCAGTTTAATTGTGCTAGAAGAGTTATATGTGCCACTGTGTGATAAGTTGTGTAACATGTGATTTGCTAGTTGTTTCTTTCTGTTCATTGACTTTTATGTTGAATCATTCTCATTATTATTTCTATATTTGCTGATTAGGTATAGTTTAAGGAACTCTCAGTTATCCAATGAAGAGTACATGATGGATTGTAATGAGTGCAGTCTTTAGTCGTTCTGAAAATTATTGAAAAATGAAATGGTGCTTTTTCCCCCTTACAGAGTGACAAGCAAATATTACACATTTCAAAATTACATAATGTCTTTAACAGTCAAGAATATTTTGAAATCAGAAGTTGGGGAACACTGCAGTTGCTGTCTTCATGGTGATTGTCACTGGTACAAAGTGATACAGAATATATGGTTATCGGGAAGGCGGGTGGGGCGTGGAAAAAGTGTGGGGTCAGTTGATATGCTGCTCTGGATATTAGCATGGACTTTGGAATAATTCTATATTTAATTCTGTCTGTATATGTCTTCCTTGTCAACGTTCGTGGGATGTTTGTTTATTTTTGTGTCTTCTCGGATGACAGATGATATTTTGAAATGTTTACTGTGTCTTTTCTTTTGTAAAATGCAACACCAAATTTGGTCCCAGTGGAATATTCAGCTACTGGTGATTGTTGGTGTTGCTGATATGTTCGGAAATTTTTGTGGAGATGGGGCAACTGATCTATTCAGTGAATACCCTTCAACAAGAGCAGAGAACTTTGTATGGCCAGAGAAATATTATGGTGGAGAGAGGTTTCATTCTACAGATTTATCACATTCTTTGCACACCAGAAGATGAATGGGTTGTCATGAGATAAGTGTTGTATTATGTACATTTTTGGATGATTCACATGTCTTATTGGAATGTGATTAAAAATTACTTAAATATGGGGACTGTCAATACTGTAGTTATGCTATTTTCCCCTTTTTATACTTAAAGAAGAATATTCATTACAGGAAAATACACCTGAGATTAAATTGTGAAAGTATATTTTTCATTTCATGTATGTAAAATCATCAGTTTTTGTGTCTTCATTTTGCCGTAGCTTTCATCACTTTCAATTAACACAGTTTGTTTAATAAGTAGATAACATATTCCTTGTTTCTGGAGTAACAGTAGTAGCTGTAGTAATAGCAGAGTCTTGCCTGAATAGCTGAATGATATTTTCTATGGAATTACTCTTCATAAATTAATGTGTTATACGAGATCATGGATAATTGAGGGTTTGACTTATCTCTCCTTCATGCATGTGCACACAGGGGTACATACACATACTGACTGAAGTCACATGGGATCTCTTACAGTCAAGGGAGATGATGAATTGACTGCAAGAATTATTTTCCAGGGATCAGAAGAATGTTTTCTTTATATTAAAATTAATTTCATTTTTGACCTCTGATTGCTTAAATTGGTTTAAATTTGTTAAGATTCAACAGGAGAAACTGTGGTAGTTCTAATTGTTAAATGTGTATGATGAGTTCTAGGAATGGGTGATTATTTTTTAATGATGTGTTTTGTATTGTGATATGAGATGATATTATTAAACATTGAACTCTTCATAAAGAAACTTGAATGTAATTTGAAGTTAAATAATGATGAACATAACACTGCTTAAGAATATGAATATTACACTTTTTATCTTAGTTTGGATTATTGTGGCGCTGAATTGACTCGTTGCAATAATTCTTTCTTGGAGTATGAGTAATGTTCTGTTCTTATGGTGCAGTGTTGGTAAACAGACACATGTCTAGATTAAGTTGGAATGTCCTTGAGAAAATCCTGTTATGAATAACAGTGTGAAAACTTTGGAATATTATAACCAAGAATTAGGGCTAGATGTATGCATTGTGAACTGTATGTAATCAAATTTTAAAAGGCTGATTTTGTTAAAGTGTTGTATTTGTTGTGGAATTGCCCTGGCCAGGCATTGGGTTAGGGATATGTTGTAATGTTGCTTGGTTACAGACTCTTGGCAGGCAAGATGGCGTGAAACAGGATTGGGTCATTGAGGACACAATAGGCAACTGGTGGAGGCCAAACTTCGAACCGCCACAGTACCCTTATGTCCCTCCTCACATCACTAAGCCAAAAGAGCACAAGCGCCTATTCCTTGTGCAGTTGGCAGAGAAGGGTAGGAAAAATTATGTATCTTGTAACAGGTTCAAGAAACATGTAGTTTTCTATGTATATATTTTCTAACTTAAGCTGTTCCTATTTCACTGATGCATTTTAAATTTTATTTGTAGATAAATAGAAATATTAAATGTAACATATTCAGAAGGCAGTGTTATCCCCATCTGATAGCAAACACTACATTGTAAAGTACATGGCAGAAATATTTGATCTAGATTACCAGGCTGCTATGGTATATAGATATTGTAGTTAACCTTAAGAGGTTGTAATAGGGGTTCTGGTTTTTCGATACTTATTAACATTATAAATCTTAAAAGAGGCTGTTCTTAAAGAGTGCATAGGTAACTCAACTGTAAAACTAGTTATGATTTAATGTGATTTCATTTTCTTAATTGATAGGTTTGTGAAGTGGATTTATGTTCAGAATTGTCAGATATTTAATACTTTGTTTGGAAAATTATTTGTGTGGAGTGGTTGGGAATTTGAGTTTCTGTAGAACTAGCAGTCACTCGGTAACAGTTCCAAGGCTGAATATCTATCACAGTGGAATTTCATTCAATAACCCAGGTCTTTTGGCTAGGAAGGACACAATTTTACTCCTGAGAATTACTTACTTACTCATGGAGCTGAGCCCTTCTAGAGGAGCTGCCAATTCTGCAGCTACTCAAGAATTTCCCAGCATTTTATGGAACCCGAAGGTTCATTACCGTGTTCACAAGAGCCCTCCACTGGTCCCTATCCTGAACCAGATCTATCCTATCCATACCATCCCATCCTATCTCTCTAAAATCCATTCTAATATTGTCCTCCCACCTATGCCTTGGTCTTCCCTGTAGTCTCTTTCCTTCTGGCTTTCCCACCAATATCCTGTATGCATTCCTCGTCTTCCCCCTTCGTGCTACATGACCTGCCCACCTCATTCTCCTTGACATGATCATTCTAATTATACATGGAGAAGAGTACAGGTTATGAAGCTCCTCAGTATGCAGTTTTCTCCAACCTCCTGTCACTTCATCTCTCTTCGGTCCAAATATTCTCCTCAACACCCTGTTCTCAAACACCCTCAGTCTGTGTCCCTCCCTTAATGTAAAAGACCAAGTTTCACACCCATACAGAACCACGGGCAAAGTTATAGTTTTGTATATTCTAATTTTTATGTTTTTGGACAACAGACGAGAAGACAAAAGGTTCTGTAAAACGGGTAGCAAGCATTACCTGAGTTCAGCCTCCTCTTAATTTCCTCCTGGCAGGATTTTATTTGTTATCATCGTTCCCAAATATCTGAACTGTGCCACACTTTCAAAACATCTGTTTCGTATCTTTATGTCATGATTTTGCCCTGCATTTTGGCGATGAGACAGTAACATATACTTAGTTTTTATAAAAATTAAATTATGTGCACATATAAATTGGCAGTACTTGCAATGTGGAAGGCTGTTCATTTTAGTTGTACAACTGTTGAAATAATTTGGAGCTAAAAGTCTGCACAGATTGTGCAAAATAGCTTAGCTGTCATGACTAGTTGGTGGTCATGGATGTGCTGCTTTTGTGTTGAGCAACAGTATGGAGAGAGTTCAGAGTATTTCCAGAGACTTCTTTCTGACAGTTTATACAGTGTTGATGTTGATTCTCATCTTGGGTCTTTGTGCTGTGTTTCTGATGATTCAGAGGTATGTGCTGCCACCATTTTTGTTGTTGACATTGTAAGTTGGCAACATTGCACACATACACACACAATGCAAAGACCCAAGAGCAGAAACAATGTCAACAGGGAACTACCATTAAAACCTAAAATCAGTAACTTTTACCTAATCTGCTTGCTTTGATAATTAGATATGAGGAACAGTATTGAAATCAACTTTCCCAATTTTGTACAAATTTGAAAATAATGTTACAGGTCTTTAAAATTAAGATAATTATTTTGTGTACAGCAGTAGAATGTTAAAATTAAATTGTATTCTAGAGTGGCCATGCACGTATTCTACATTTCAATGTTCTGTCAAAAACCTGCGTTAATTCCTCATAATCTTATATTATGCTGTGTGACATTGCGATTTTCTTGAAGATGTCATGAATGAATGCGATTCGTTTTCATTAATTTGTCGAGATTGTATCTATGTAAAACTGGATAGTGGTTTCTTCAGGAAAATAACAGTATATGTGCTAGGGGCCCAAACACAAAATGTAATTTTTCTCAAAACTGCTCTTACTGGCCAGACAGATATCATTATTGTTCAATATTCAGCAGCCATCAATGGCCTTGGTCAGTCATATGTGAGAAAATATGTGCCAGTCTTTGCGTTGTTACTTGTTATTGTTGTAAATGGTGTCAAAATTTAAGAGGCATGCTTTCCACTCCAGCCACTTTAACTGTTTTTCTGTATTGTATAAATTAAATTTTGTTAGGTGCAGTGTGAAAATATTTTTATTTAGATATGTTCACTGTGGCTGTAATGTTTTGTTGGATGTGTTGTAACACTGCCTTCAATACATATAAGTGCTGTCAGTACCATTGTAATTACAGTTTTGCATTAATAGTTTAACATTAGTGTATGTAGGAAATTGTGGATGCAGTTTGTAAGAAAACTAATGGTTTTGTTACATTTAATGTTTTTATTGATACTTTTTGATGTGTATGTGCAATTGTAAATTTATTACACAACACTAACTTGATTACATAATTATCAAGTTATCAATGTGATTTATTATAATATGACATAAATTTGTATGTTACCATGTAAAGAGACTGTACTGTGCATTCCTAAACACCAATATTACAGGTTTTCAAGTCAATTTATGGGTTTTCTTGGATGTAATTACTATCATAGATATAACATCATCTCTTCATTTTTAATATCTATTGGGATGAAAATTATCTACAACTTGTCCTCTGCTTTGACTAAGATTCCTTTTGAAAATATTGATGTAGTCTTAGGTTTTGGTTACTTTGTTTTATAGTTTTGAAGAATTACACAACTGAATGGCAGTTCATATAAAGTACATCATTCTTGAAGAGTTCTGCCTTCTGAGATATAGTGCTGTGTAGTCCAGTGAACGTTGGCGAGTGTTGTGGAGAAACATAGCACCTCTGTCTTCAGGATCAAAGAGGAAGTTCAGCAAGAAGCAAGCATGGAGCTGGGCTCCTCGCTCAGCTTACTCTTTGCCCTGAAGATGAAGTGATACATTCCTCCAAAACGTCAGTTTGACTTCCACTGGGTCTATGTTGCTTATACAGAGTAGTTTAATAATTAAGCCCTTTCCACATTTTAGTACTCCATTCCTGAAATATTTTTAAAATTGTTTATATGTCGTCAACATGAGGTGACTATCCAGTTTCAATAATGTTTAAAATTGTCTTGAATTTCTCACTTTTTTATATTGTTTGAAGCAGGAACCTACTACTGTATTCACTCCAATTTTATAATAAGTGTTCATACTACACTTATGCACTGATAGAGCACTGTTCTTAGAATATGGTTATAAACTGTTGTACATTTGCACTCTAAGTATTAGTGGTGTGTTATTGAAATGTAATATATTACCTCTGTTAATGAAATAACATTAACAGCAAGTTCAGGGAAGGACTTAGGATGCCTGCCTTCTTTCAGATGATTAAATCTATATATGCTAGCTAGGAGGAATTTGTATACAGTACTGTAATGTTTTACTGGAGATTTATTTCTATACATAATTTGCTTTAGTATGTTTTACACCTATATTGAAGTTGTCACATATAACCTCAAAGTTTCATATTGTGACCATGCAAGTAAGTGATGATATAAAATATGTTACAAAATTTTTAGATCTTTATAGTCTGTTCTCATTGAAACATGGCTGCCCGCATTGCCACATTAGTTGCTATATTGTTATTCCAGATTCAAGAAAATTATAGCCTTAACAAAGTTACTGTTATTGAAGATCTGTTACCACACAAAATTTCAGGCTGTACATTAAGTGGCGCCAGTGTCACTCCCACATCAGATGAACTGAACATCTTGGTATAATTGAAGATTTGGAATCATATAAGAGATGGGATGACATAATGGCATGTCATTGACTTACAATTCTTTAAATTTCCACTTAGTTGAAAAGTTATTTGTGGAAATAGCCACATGAACATGATACTATATGGCAGTATTTTTTGTGCATTCATAATGAGAAATTAAAAAAATTTGCTTTTCGTTGTCATTCTTTGTGCCTGTCAGCATGTAACAACTTTAGAATTATGAAATGGATTTTTATGAAATTTGATACAGGTGAGTTTACATCAAGACCTGCAACTGGTTTTATAATGTAAGGAAATAGGCTAAAAAATTATGTAAATGGATGATAACTCTCATAGTTAAGATGCCTTGAATGTACAGTACATACAATTTCTTTAAAGTATATTAATTGCTTTTGTGATTTTGGGCTTACTGGTAAGTTCTCCATTATATTTTAGGTTTAATACTGCGACCACTTAATATTAAATTGGTTTTAAATTTGATGTTACCAGTCAATGCATAAAACTGTTCAGTAACAATTGCTATTTCTGCTGAAAGCATGTATATCACCATAAGATGTTTGTTGTCCATGATGTTAGCATGTAAAAATCGTGAAGTTTAAAATCACATCTGTGAAAACTAACGAATCACACTTGGAAATCTGTAATGATTGGTTGTTAAATGAAATGTACATATAATTATAGTAATCTCTCTCTTACCAGTATTTTATTTCTGTAAAGTTTCTTTACCTGCTCTTAAGATAGATGTAAGAAATCTCAGTCAGTAAGCATTTTGTAAAGCATCTTTAAAAATATAAAAAAAAACATCATGGAATCAAAATTTCCAAGTTCATAACTACTTCAGGTTCCTTTAAAAAATCATGCTGAATACAGATTGTGTGTATGTGATTGTTGCATGATAAGATGTTGAAACTTTGTATGAAATACATTTTCCTGGGAAGCAATTATAAAGTTTTAAATTAATTATAATGTTATTACATCTTCAGAGAATTTTCATACTTAATTTGTCTGCAGTTTAACAACATGTATAAACTGTGTTCAGAACGTGTCCTTAGCTACTTAAGTAACTGGTATTGCAAGTTCAGAAGTTTGGTTCTGTTTGCATACAGTGTATGGAGTAATATAACTTGTTTCTGCAGGTGCAAAGCTCATTTTCTATACCAGTTCAACATATGCCTACAGTTAGGATTGTGTGTTACATGCTTTCCTCTGTTATATATATTCAGCAATATCTTCAGATACAAACTTCTGTGATGGAAAGTTATTTATGTAAGTACTCAGTACATAGTGGGGGGCACGCAGTAGCGTATTTGTTTGAGGCATTATGCTACAAGCTGGAAGGTCACGGTTTTGAATCCATATCAGGTGGATTTCTTCAGTTGACCTAATCGTTCCAGCCGCACTATGGCCTTGGGGTCGACTTAGCCTCTAGCAGAAATGAGTACCAGGAATCTTCCTGAAGGGGTAAAGGGCAGCTGGCACATAAGGCTGACAACCTAACTGCCATCTGTGAGCCAGTTGTCTAGAGAAACTATGGGAGCCTTGACGTCTCACAACCCTGTGGGTCTTCACAACCTGTTACAGGGATAGCTTTACCTTTTACCTTACCTTTACTGTAGTCTATAAATAGGGTATTCATTGCTTTGGCTCAGAAATTTGGAAATGTTTAACATTTATAACACAGTTTGAACATGTTGTTAAATGGTATTATCACTGGAGGGAGGTAATGTAGTGGTTGATAATTCGTGTGAGCTCTTTCAAGTTACATGTGTGGCATGATGAAATGGTATATAAATTTCTTACATTATCAAATGCTGGTTTGTGAACAAGGCCACATGTTTCAGGGTGAGACCAGTTCGTGACATTGCCAACTGAATGCTGCCTTACAAAGGCTGCATGTTTACAGTAACCATTCTGTTACTGTCTTTTTATATTATTACTTATTTCATTTCACTTTAAATTTCTGATACACATGCTTGCATCTACCTCCATCAGTGATAGTGCATTCACTTTGATTATCATATAAAATACCGAGACTTGTTTTAAATAATATAACTGTTACACTGTTATCTTACAGCTATGGATGGAGCAGGAAGATTGACATCACAAATGCAGAATTTTGTCATATGTTCGCAAAGAAGACAACTTCATTAATGTCGTAATTTGTTCATTCTGTACTTCCCTTGCTATTGTGTAATAATATAACACATTTTGATTAGAGATAATACAGTTGAGAATGCATTTTATGTTATAGAAAATAATTTTTTCTTTGCCGACATATTACAGTGATTTTTCACATTCACTACAATATTCTGTTATATACATATACATTTTTTTTGTTTGCTTTAAATATAGATTGAGGGAGGAGGGATACAGCGAATTCATCCATTATAATGAATGTATTGACTCCTGGTGGGAAGCATTAACAGTGAATATGATAAATACAGGGAGGTCATCTGAGGCCTTGCGATATTTTATTTTATTTATTTTTTTTTTTTTTTTTCTGACTGAACAAGGACGTCCTGCTCGCATCATCTTGCAATTATGCATCCTTGGACTCGTGGCAAAATCAACACACCAATAATCTATACATATTACAAATAAAATCTAAAAATTTGTGATGATGGTACATTAATACAACTATTGTTTCTGGACAGTATCCATCCTGTTTTTAGTTAAAAACATTTTGGAGATTGGATTCTGTGTACAGCTTCAGGTAAAACCTACTCAGTATGCCTCGATCGATAGAGCTCTAGGTTTTACCTGAAGACAGAGACAGAATTGACTCTCCGAAACGTTGTGTTTTTAAATAAAAACAGGACGATGGTTAATGTCCAGAAACATAGAATTTGCATACACTACAGTTTCCAATATTGCCCAGTAAATCTCTTAATAGTTTCTGTGAAGCGAGCTTATGCAGTGTGTTCCTGTCAACTTTGATCCCAAGCACCCTGCTATGGTATTAAACATTCAAGCAGTGATTTTACTTCTTGTAACAAAATGCCACATGTGAGTTACACTTTGAAACAAGTGTTCATGTATGATATCCATGTGAAAAATATGGGAAAGGTTCCAGCATTGATTTCAAGCTGTTACAATTCCAAATAAAATCAGTTTGTGCAATCTAAATGAATTAAGGTAAACAGGCCATTTTTGGACAGAAGGTAACCAATTCAAAATGTTGACTGATCACTGGGCAGAAATGGAATGGAATTGGTAATAGGATTGAACATTGTCTTTGATAACCCCTTTAGATGTCTTGCAAAGGTGCCTGGAGTTTAAGATTTCGGTTTTTAAATTTAAAGTCTGCACTGTTTCCGGAAATGAACTTCAGTGTGTGAGTGTGAACTTTTTATGCAGGTGCAGTGAATGCAGGTGTAACAATAGACAGTTTTCAGCATCTTTTATGATTTGTTGGTCTATGGGCTTGTTGATTGTACTGCAGGTCCAATCACTCATGGAAAGAATTGGCACGAGGAACTTGTGCTTCTTCTGCTGGACTTAGTGAGCAGTTTGTGGCAGGTTCTAAGACGATCTCACCAATAATGTTAATTTGTTTTGCTGATTTGTTTCATTAATGCCCAGTCAGTAACCATATATGACATTGGACTTAATGGAAATTATTGTAATAACTAACTGCATGAAGGAGAGTCCTTAAAAAAAAAGTTATTGTTGCTTAGCTGGTCAAGAAATTTCCTGCCTCTATGAAACCAGAAGCTTGATTAACATGTTAACAGGAACCCATGACAAGTTTATCCTGAGGCACATGAATCCAGTCCACACAGTCACACACCGTTTCCCTAAGATTAGAATATTTGACATCGTGGTTTGTGATTCTGATTCAGAAACTTCTCTCTTTGTTCATTCAAACATTCCGTGAGAGCTTTAATGAAGTTGTCTTCTTTGATAATATGAAGACTGTTAATTGGAGGAGATGCAGAGGCCTTTCATAGACTCAGACTTCAACCTGTTTGAAACGTGTAACATTATGTATGGATGTAGCGTGGTTATTCACTGTATCACTAAAGGTGATGACACAAAATAATTACAGAATGTATCTTAAAAAGAATCTTGCAAGTTCCTTTTTATTGAGGACTGAAAAGTTTGAAAGAAATTTATGTATCATTTATAAAAATGCAACTTTTTCATAAAGAGACAGCATTTGAATTTATTGTTTATTCCAAATGTAGTCAGAAATTTATTTTTTATTCTTATTACTGTACATAAATATTCATTACATTGCATTGTGTTATTAGATTATATATGCAGTAAGCAGTGATAACTTTGTCCTACCAATTTGTCTTAGAACAGCTTGCATTCATGAAATATTATGTTACTTGTAATGAATCACAGGATGATGATTGTTTTCGAGTGCTACGAGGCTGTGTGTTATCTGTTAATTTTATTGTGAACTGTATGTCATTTTGTGTGGAAATGATCAGTCGTACACTCTTCTCCAACATTCATTTATGCTGTAATGTTTTCAGCTCTGTTTGCTGTTCCTAAGAACTACAAGTTAGTAGCAGCTCCACTGTTTGAGTTGTATGATAATGCTCAAGGCTATGGCCCCATCATCTCTTCACTGCCTCAGGCACTTTGCAGGTAGGTGCTTTATGAGTTAATGATTCTGATTACTAATGTGGCTAAACACTGTGTGCAAGAGAGGTTATGGAAACTGCTCACAACATTTTAATTAAAAATCAGGTTGAAGTATATCAACTTTTGTGTTGCATCATTTATTGAAAATAATTTATATATCTAGTACTGGAAACACTGTAGAAGAACATAAATTCATATAACTACTGCATATAATTGTAGTAAAACAGTATTATCCACAGTAATGGAAGGGGAAAGTTGAGTGGTTGGTGGGTTTCCAATGGCTGCATTTGGGATCATTTAACCCATTTTGCTTCTTCACTACCCAGGGGACACGCATGACTTAGAGAATGTCACAGATGCGAGCAACTTTGTCCCCCTGGAAAGTAGCATAAATAATTGACAACAATGGATAATCCAGAAATCTGGAAGTACCCACTATCCAAGGTGCAGTAAACCTACAAAATCACCTGTTATTACTTATTGGTCTTCCTGCTGCTCACTGAACACTGAGACAGACATTTAATATAGAAGAAGCCTTATTCTGTGGGGAAAGTAGTAAAATGATAAAAGGTTACACCAGAGTGAGAAGATGTACAGTTTACTGCAAGTCACTGTAAAGCATCACTGATACATTACTGACACACATGTAATAAGCAACACATAAATTGTTAAAGGATCTTTAAGCAATGGCTAAGGGCTTCTGAAAGTCATGTTGTTAATCAACAAAACAGATTATCTGCACATGGATAATAGTCTACTGTCCTTGCATTGTATGTGTGTAGTCAAAGTTTTGTCACTACAGTCCTTACTATATAGAAGTCCTTCAAAATTTTGATATGAAAGACAGATTTGCTCCTGATATACTTCATGTGTTTCTTCAGCAGGCAAATTAGATGCAAACTGGTGGGGTACAAGTCTAGACTGGGTGTTGTGGAGCTTTCTGTCAGTTTTCCTTAAGAACATTCACAATGTTTTGGGGGCAGTTTATAGCAAAGCATCATCTTGCTGAAGATTAAGTCTGTTTTGCAGTGAACTTGGCCAATTCGTGGATTTTTGTACATTGTCATTTAATACAGTGAGAAGTCCTTGTTCTTCCCTTTGGTAGGGTACTGGTGTGCTTGACCCCAGAGGTGTATCAATTTGCCTGAAGAAGTTTATGCTTTAATTTCCTGTATCTTATTATAATTTGTATATGTCCAGCCACTCCCCTTTCAAATGTACAGAATTGGATACTGATTCAGCTGCTGGGTTTACTGTAATTTAATCAAAGTAAGTGGTGTAGAAAGAAAAATTACATAAAACGAAAATTTAAAGGTGCAGATGAGACTGGATGACATTATCTAGACTTTACTATTGAATGTTCTTTGTTTATGTTTCAGATTCAATTTTATCTATATGTGAGATGTACCATACAGTGAAGTAAAGGAGAGGTTTTAAGTGTTGTTGGAAGTTTCATATTCTTTGTGACTAAGAAGAAGTACCGTCTGTCCTTCCAGGATGCTGTGGAAATGATCTCAGTGACAGCCCAGGTGTAGGGACATTTAGTAAAAACATAAATCAGTTTGACAAAGCTTCATCTTATTATGAGCAGTTTCTGTAGAACATTACTGTATTTTTATAGTGTTCTAGCCACCTGATGACTGTAAGCCTTGAAATTTCATGTGAACTGGAAACACTTATGTCATATAAACTGTCAGCGTAATTTTACGTAACCATAACCAAACATGAAATTCATTGCAAGCTGTACTATGTTTATGTCCAGTTTTATTTTCTGTTAGTCTTACCTTTAGGTTACAGTGTTTATTACAACTGACATGTCAGGTAATATCTACAGAGAATCTAAAGGAAAATGTATACATATTTTAATAATGAAAAAATATGTATTGCATATTGTGGAGAAAAACAGTATTTAGTGTGCAGAAGCAGTGGTATGTACCACATGATTGGCATTGGCCACTGTTAACATGCACACGTTGTAGCAATGAACAGCTCAGGGAACTTGCACCAAGATTTCTGTTGTGATGACTGCACATAACTTCTCAATTTTATGCATAAAATCATGGAGTGTTAATTGTTTTCTACCGTATGTTTCTGCTTCAGGCAGCCCCACAGATAAAAGACAGTAAAACCAAAATGTGAGTGAGATGGGTATTCATTAGATCCTTTTTGTCCTGTACAATGATCTGGGAAATTAGCATTCAGCTAGGTCCTGTCATCACATTAGAAACATGAGGGTGCCTGTTCTTGTTGGTAGTAGATTTCCTCATTTCCATACATCTGGCATACGACAGACGTAATGGATGCCTTTGGCTTGTTGAGCTACTAACTGTCTCGTCAAGGAAAATGGGTCCAGATTAACCTTGTATAGCATACTCTGAGTTCTGGCAAATTCACTTCTACATCCATATGAATATGTGAATTCTCATGGGACCAGTAAACAGAGTTAAAGCAGTTCACTGTAGATTTTAGCTCAAAGGTTGGTTTATCAGACCAGATGGTTATGCCCATGAACTTTGTATTGTTGACATTCCCCAGAATCATATCATAGGTTACAGTTCTGTACACAAGAACATCTTCAGTTGCAGCATGGGACTGACTGCCTTCACTTGTATGATTTATGCCTTATGGTTTTGTGAATGTGGTACACAGTCTCCCTGTTGATGTTGATGTCGAAGCAATTGTAGAAATTGTAATATCACAACAAAGTTATCACTACTCATTGAGCAGGTTTGCCCAGGTTTTTATGCATGTCTTGTACAATTCCATCAGCTCCAAATTTGTCATTAATTACAGAAGTTGTTGGTAATGCTGAGCCTCAGTAGCAAGTTCACAGAATTAACTTCATTACTCAAATGTCAAGCAGTCTCTCTTGTTCTTCATTATGCACTGTTTGAGAGAGGAGGTATCATGGTTGTCTATACCTCATGCCATCTGTTAAGTACATGCAGCACTACTTCAGCTTACATTCTGATTCTGTCATGAATATGTGAAAATATATTCTTTATTCAGATGTGTATACGTACTTCTTAGACACTCTCTGGTTTTATGTCCCATATATTGCAGTATAGAGCACTTAACTGCAGTTTGCAGGTAAAACTATAATATTGTCTCTGATATGTGTCATGTGAATTACTAAAGTTGCTACCATATGTACCTTGCGTAGTTTCTCTCGGTTTAATGTCTCTTTATTATGTGTTGCTGATGATAAGAGAATTATTTTCTCTCCAGTAGCATAGTTTTTCCATACATTACCTTCTTCACCATAAGGTAGGAAATTATGAAAATCACTCAGATGAATTCCTACATAGAACATACACTAATAAAAATGTGAAGGGTGTCCATTTAGAGGTACTCATATTATGCCAGTTGACATACCTTACTTGTTAAAAGTTTAAACGCCCAGAAATGTAAGGGACAGTTTGCATCATATAAAATGATACTGAGTAACTGTGTGTTGTTTGGCTGTATGCATATTGTGTTTCTTGCTGAGTATATTATTTTGTCAGACACACAGTCATTTGCTGCCACATTGGTAAAACTGCTGTATGAGTCACTCAAAGAAATGATCTGCAAAATTTGTAATGGCAGTATAAGTGATATATATATAATGAACAGTATTTTCTGTATAGTAGTAGAATTGCTGTGTTGTGTTTATTTATAAACATGCCATTTTTTACTTCATGTGAAATACTTGCATTAACCTTTATCAGCCATGTATTAAATTACTGAATCAGTGCACTGTGTGATCCAGCTGGGCAAGTCTTACATTTCTTTCTGTGCTAATATCATTGCCTCCCAGTTAAAATATTGTCACCAGACCTGAAAAAGCAAGAGATATAAAATCCCCTATTCCCTGATAAGCTGTTACCCAGTAATAAAACATGGCTGCCACCTTTGTACTACTGGGAGATTAAACAAACTCATATTCTTGGGTGATAAACATTAATGTGAGAAATTAGATAAGTGTGGTACATTGCAGTTCATACAGTCACATTGCACATTGAATTCTTACTAGTAGCCATCTACTTTCTTTGGCATGTGTAACAGATAATTCTGTTATTACAAAGTTGGGCTCAGATTTTTTTTTTATGTGTCTGCTTGTCTCCTTGATGAGCTGGGGTAGCGCAGTCAGTATAGTGACTGCCTATGGACTGGATGACTGGGGATCAGAGTTTGAGTTCCATTAGGGTCAGAATTTTCTCTTCTCTGTATTGTCCAGACCATCTCTGGGTCCCACCCAGCCTCCTATCCAATGGGTACTGAGGGCTCTTTCCCCGGGGGTAAAGCAGCAGGGGCATGAAGCTGACCACTCTCCTCTAGCTAGTGCCAAGGTCAAGAACATGTGAATCTATACATCCACTCCCCCATAACCCGTCATGGCGTAGTGCTTAATTAGTTAAGCACAGGGACAACTTTACCTTGTCTCCTTGATAGTGATGGTGGTAAAATAGCCCATAGTACCTGAGGTTGCTAATAAATTGACAGCACTCTATTCTTAGTGGATTTCATTTTTTTCAATGCAGTGAGAAGAAAACTACACTTTTGACTGATCTTTTATTAATAATGCTATAATAGAAATATGTTTGGAAAAACCTTCCTTGTATGGAGGAAGAAACTCTGGTCTTTTTGTTTTTTATTCTAGTATGGTATTCATCTATTATTGCAGGTGCAGAAAAGTATGAAATTAATCATAACATGTATCCTGATTTAATTTCTTAAAATGGAAATTTGGTTTAAAATTTGTCATATTGACAAGATGTTAGCAGTATATTTATATGGTGACGTTCCTTTTAAACACTATAAAAACTGATAGATATTGTAGTATGGCTGATTGAGAGTGACATAGGCTTATTGCATAACTGTACAGATACTTCTGCTGTCATAAGAGTTTCCTCAGTGTCATATGTGGCCATTACAAAATTGCTTGCTTCAAGTTTATAACAAAAGTGTAAATCATAGCTACTGTAAGAGCGGAGCCCAGAGTTGAATGTTCTGTGGGGCTTCTCATTTTATCCTGCCATAATATTTCTATTTGTTATAAAATCAGTGAGATATTTTGACATCTGCTTTCTACAGTTATCTTTTAATATAACCATGGCTTTTCAACATTTGCTGTGGCATTTTATTTCTGTAATAAATGAATAATTTTTATACATTTTTAATTACTTGGTGTCTGGTTAAAAATACACACCATTACAACCTACTCTGTGGCTATGAAGTATAGCTCTGGGCTCAGGTCTTGTGGTTTTGAATCTCATTTTCAGTTGCAACAACTTAATCAGTCTTATTTACCTTGTATAGCTGGAAGTGCAGGAGGAAACATACAGATGTATGGTAAAAGGATGAACTCATTCTATGGTCTTGAAGCTTGTAGTTTCTTGGCAGTTGCTATAACAGATATAGTATTTTGTAACAGTGTCATTTATTCATTCATTTTTAAGGGCATAGAACAATGCAGGCAATGGAAAAGGAATGATAGATGAGCATGAATGATGATTAATTCTCATATATTGCATGTAGCAGTATAATAAATATAGAAGGGTTGTGAGACTGAGCTGGTTGGTGTTTTAAGCCTGAAGTGCACTTCATGTGTTTGCCATTGATGTGATGGTGATTATATATAAGTATTGAGCATTGGTGGAATGATAATTGGCAGGGGAAAAATGAAGAATGTTGAGATAAATTTGCCTTGTTGCCACTTTGCCCTCTACAAATTCCACATGGCCTCCCTGGTTCCATGGTAACAAACCAGTGACTAACTTCTCGAACATGACTGTGTAACAGTGAGATTTATATTGTAATGCTAAGTATGACTAGACCATATGTGTAAAACAGGAGAACATGGTTTCTTGCAGCAGAGGTTTTTCGGAAGCTTTGATGGTCAAGAGGTTCGCCGTCTTTTATCGAAGCTGAAGGTTCTGTGTTATGTTCATAAGAGCACACCTGTGGCCCCTGTTTTAACGCATTGTGGACCGGTGGTTTAAACATATAAATCACCCTGGGGACTGGCGTTTTTAAACCTACTACCCTAACTTGTGCACTGTTCACTTTAAAAATTAATATAAAATCTCCTAATTAATTTTATGAACTGAAATTTTTGGAGAACACTTACCAGAGCTCCTAGGTGCTTCCGCGTGTGATATCTCTGAAAACATTCCCCTTTGTGAAGAGGCATTATGCAGAAGTTGTACATGTAGGCAGTTTTACTCTTCTTCTTGTGCTCTGCGCACATACGGCACTGCCTAGAAGGGTGTTTCTTCTTGCAATATTCACTCTTCACAATTTTCATGAGAATATCACCTGAGAGTCAGCCAGGGGGGTCTACTTGAGGCCTCTGGCAGGTGCGAACAGATGGCCCCGGCTGCACTACGTCTGTGTCTGACGCAGGTACTGCCGCCACCGTGACGTCAGTAGCCCAAGCTTTTGCCAGTTTCAACAGAAATGCTTTGTATTTCAAAGTAGAATTTCTGTTCACCTTTTTGAAAACCGTAAATGAATTGAAAATTGCACAGTTTATAAGCCACAGTGCAACTTTCTTCGTCCATTTTACTGTTTTCCTAGGAAGGGAATAATAGGCCAAGAACTGGTCGGCCCTATCAACTCCTTTCATGAACATATTATACTCTGAAATACAAAGAGGCTTCTTTACTTGCCCGTGTCGTCTTTGAACATCGACCATGCTCGATTGTGAATAGTGGAAACCATATTCACAACGCGAGTATCCCTCCAGGACTGAAGAAGAATGTCCCTCTTCCGTCAAAGAAACTATCTCCAAAAAAAAGTGACGCAACTTCAGACACGTCCGTTGGGTCTGATGGCATCTGCTTCACCCCCGGATCACCAGTAAACTTTCCCAAAGTGGGGGTTTTGTCCACTTTATCCCATGTAGCTGTCCCAACACTCGCACTTTCAACGGAGCTCTCACTTTCACTTGACACATTTTGGGCAGCCCAGTGGCCACCGTCACTGTCACTGTCACTGATAATGGCCTCGCTATCAGAAGACGAAGCAGTTGGCAAATCTGATAGCTCATTGGAGAACATGTCTAATATTTCCTGTCCTCCGAGAGATCGCACCTGCGTTCGTCTCTGAGCCATGTTGAACTGGTAGCTGCATGGTTCATACGTGCAAGCTTGGATTAGAACAAAGCCAATTTTGTTTAGGTTGTGACAGGAAATGACTCTGGTCGAGTTACTAGATAAGGCAGCAACATTCCCGAGGTCATCTACGCAGTAGTTACGATTCACCGAAGCCACACAGCGATATATAGCGTATTGCAACATAACGTGACCGTAGAGGGCCATATGGCCCGCCCTGCCCGCAACGCTTGGAAACGTAGAGGGCCATATGGCCCGTCTGGTCCGCAATGTGTTAAGACAGATGAAATCGATCCATGGCCTGTTTTCTTGAGATTCATCATAATATTGTTGTACATCCACTCCTAGGCCTCCCACTGTGCAAATATAATATTAATTTCTCATCTCTTCACTGTGTTCTGTATGCATCCCCCTTCTCATTTGATTACTGATTACTTAACACTTGTCATTTCAAAATTTTATCCAATGTAGTATTTTGTGCTGAGACATGGCAGATTGATTGAGCACTTGCTCATTGATAAAACATTTAATTTCAATGTAGATACGGAATTTATTTAGACATTTTGGGGATTTTCTTCATGAATACATTTTCAAGGTCTCTTGAAGTTTGTTGCTAATTGCATTTAACACAGTGTTTGATTCAAAGAAAGATGCATATTTAATGTATGGTACTGTTATTGTTCAAAATATTGGTAAACTTCATTTGTACTAAAATGGAATTGTAAATATGAAGTCAATGAAAACATTCTCTGCAACAGAACAATTGTATTAAACTCTTTGGACAATGGCTGAAAAACTGCATTGTAGTTCTTATATTGGAATGAATGACAGAACACTTCATGGTAGTATAAAATTTTATTTTATTTTTTATTTGAGACATGTGAGGTTTATTTCTCTATGATTATAGTTCCTTGGACATGAGTTGCAAATTGGGTTATGTTCATATGAAGAATTGTGACACCAACTCTGAAAGACTTGAAAGGATTCTGATGATGGTGTATACTTTACTTCTTTTGGCTTATTTTGGACTTCACCCATCATCCGGTATATAAAAGACAAAAAACCACGACGTTTTGGAGACTGGATCTGTCTCCATCTTCAGGTGGATAGGGAAGGTTAAACCTACTCAGTTGGGCCCCTTAGAAAGAGCTAGTCTCCGAAACGTCATGGTTTTTTGTCTTTTATATACCGGACGATGGATGAAGTCCAAAATAAGCCAAAAGAAGTACCAACTCTGAAGCATGACTTATTGTGTGCGCACAGTCAGTAAAGAAAACACAAATTATAAGGTGGTTACATACGAGGAGCATTCCGTATATAATGCCTCCTATTTTTTTAAAGAAAACTACAACAGATACAGAGAGCATAATAATGCAGTTAAATAGAGGAAGATTTCAGCTACTTACAGTTATTTTTCCACATAATCACCACCATTTGTTATGCACTTTTGCCAGTGATCAACAGGAGCCTGTATGCCGTGCCTGTAAAAGTCTGCTCCAGCAGAGGCTAGCCATTTTCTTACAGCTGCAATGACAGCATCGTCTGGAAAATGTTGCCCACATAGTCCATCTTTCATAGGCCCAA